GCTCTCCATGGCACTGTTCACATACAATTTTCTGAACCTGAATAACAACAATCACTCCCCGGCCATGGAACATTGTAATCCATCTCCTGGCAATAGGGGATGGGTGAAATGGAAAGATGTCCTGACGGGACAATGGATGGGCCCGGATCCAGTAGTTAGCTGGAACCGAGGTGCGGTTTGTGTTTTCCCGCAGGAACCAGGACGAGAACCATTGTGGGTCCCAGAACGGCTGACGCGTGTGGCGAATCCAACGAAACATAATGCAGGAGACACTCCAAAACTCAACGGCAGCGGACAGCCTAATCAAGATCGGTCCGACCAGGATATTGCTGCTCGACCGAGGAATACCGTATGACTTATGGGACACAGTAATGATTATGCTCTCGATAGTAATTGGCTCTCTTTTAGGGTACGGTGCAGCCAGAGTGGCTAGGCCACGCCGCCTTCCGGCAGCCCCCTTCCTTCTGGTTTTGATGCTCACCACCACTACTGAAATAGGAGCAGACTTGGTGTGGGCAGCAATACATCATCCGCCAGCGCTAGCCGCTATCTCCACCACAGCCCCCTCTCTCCCAAAGTTGTATGCAAAAAACTGCTCCGCCAGATTGCCTTGCATACCAGATATACCGTTAACCATCAGACCCATACGTTTTGACCTTCCCATCACCAATGACGTGGTCATTTTTTCCACTAATAGTAACCCCTCGTGTCACCGGGGATCCTGCGTTAGCTTCCTGCCCCTCCTTGTAAAATGGTACAATACCTCCCTGACGGTGAGGTTGTCTGTCCCATCCCTGCATTCGCCTGGATGTTTTAAAGCTGGCACACTTAGCGGCGGAGTCATCACTTTTAACTCAACCTGCAAACCCCGAGCAGCCATGCACACCCGTCCCGATTTCCCCACATGCCCATACCGTGTGTCCCCAAGCCGAAAAAGACAGATGGTGGACCTGTCACAACTTTCATGGCAGCCCTGTACTGTCGACGGCGTGGGAGTGACTCATCTAAACATGTCTTGGTGGTCCCGGTTCTCTCCTCCATCCGGTAGTAACAACATATTCGCGTTGACCTGGTGGGAGTCCTACCTGAGAGTGAACAACAAGTGGGCAATAAGCTTCCCCTTCCCCCTTAATGAAAATTGGTTGTGCCTCTCCACCGGAGCCTGCATGGACTTAAGACCCATGCTCGCTATTAACGCTTCTGCCTCTAATGGAACCACCAATGTCACCCTTAATTCTGAGGCTGCATGCGTAAAACCGCCCTACTTATGGGTATTCTCTGCTGACATCTCCTTTAAGTGCAGTAACCAACCATGCTTTACAGGGAACTGCTGGAATGGGTCTTTCCCGTATGCTATGTTGGCTCTTCGACCCCCACTGATGTGGGTTCCCTTTAACGAATCTGTTTGGGTTCATCCCGTCTATCAGCAGGACCAACTACCCATGCTCAGACGTAAGAGAGATTTTGGGATCACAGCGGCCCTGACAGCACTGTTCGTGACTCTGACTGCGACGGCTGTGACGGCTGCCGTTGCTCTGACCCAGTCTACGCTGACGGCTCAGGCCTTTACCAATCTTACGGACACCACCTCCCTGGCGCTGAGGGAGCAACAAGAAGTCAACCTCCTCCAGCACAACGCCATAATGGCGTTACAGCAGCAGATCGACCTAATCGCTCAGGAAGTCCAGGGACTCTGGGAGGTGGCTAACAATTTATGTGACGCCAGATGGGCATTCACCCAGTTGTGCGTTACCCCCATCCAGGTCAACCGTTCGGCTTACAGGCAATTTCAGGATTATGTTCTCACCACCTATAATTCTTCCTTTTGGAACGCTAGCGTGCGCCTGGATATGACTATCCGGCAGCTAGATCAGATAGAGGTGCCTATACTTACAGCCTCCTTTTTTGATGATGTCCTAAGCCAGATAGGCTCCTTCTTCAAACCTTCGTCACTTCTTGCGTATGGGATCATTCTTGCTCTTGTGATTGTCACTCTCGTGACTCTTAGGTGCCTGCGGTCGATAAGGGCGACCCAAAAGACACATATGACATTGATGATGTTGCTGGCCCAGAGTCAAGGGGATTCCACACCTAGCGTTTTCTGGGCTCAGGCTAGAAAGGCACGGCTCCTTTAACCAGTACGTGGCTGCCCTCGCCATTATTCTTACGGATGTTCTAGTATTATTACGTACGTCTCCTTCCCCGTCGCGGCTGCGAACTTAGACTAGAAGGACCCCACGCTTAAGGCGTGTTCCCATTGATAATTAGAAAATAGTAATTAGTGATTGTAGTGAACGGGGATTATGGTTGGTAATTAGTAATTACGCGGTTCCTCAAATGTCACTCGGCTGACCCCTCCGTGTCTCCCCCAAGATATAAGCTTTAAGAGTTGAGTGGGCAAGCCAACGACGGGTAAGACGGGAGAAGTTCTCCTGATCAACCTAAGACAGGCTCTACTCCGAGGGTCCTCTAGGGAGTGAGAGTTATGGCATTGAGATGCGAGACCAAGGGTACTGCAGTGCCATCCGCCTCGAGGGTTGAGGGGAAGGCAGGAATGAATGTCTATATGCATCCAGGTTCGGTTCACAAAAGCCTGGCCCTGCGAAAAAATGAACCACTCACCTTGAGCATGGTCCTGGCGCAAGGATATGTACGAGACAAGGTGATGCACAGCAGGGTATAGACCTCTACATTCTCTCATGCCTCGGCCTGCGAAATAGGCCCACTCCCAGACACCTCACATGGACCCACAGACCACACTATCTTAATAAATAAAGAAGGGGGAGATGTTGGGAGCTCGACCGAGTGATATGAGGCCTGTGGTGAGGAGTGAAGCCTGAGCTAGATTGCCCCTCCCGTCGACCGAGTGATATGAGGCCTGTGGTGAGGAGTGAAGCCTGAGCTAGATTACCCCTCCCATCGAGTATGCCAAGATGGCGCCCATTTCCTGCTCCCTAGCTAGTAAACAACACGCCCTGTAAGCTAGTCTGCCCAGCAACAGCTGACGCTGGCCAATCAGCTCGTCTTGCCTACTTTGATGTGATTGGTCGATGTGTCCATATATATGCTGACACCACCCCTGGGGCGAGGACACATACCAAGAAGAGGGACTGCTGAGAGAAGCACACAAGGAGCCGTAGGGAACGGACCAGAGGAGGCTTCCCTCAGGCGGGATCCGAGATCCCGGAACAGGGCGTACGGAGAGAGAAAATAAATCAGAGGCTATCCGCCGACTACTCGTGTCGTGTGTTTTTTCCTGCCGGCCGGGATCGACACCGACACCAGATGCTGGATGTGGAGCTACAGTATTTAATCTTTGCCCTGCCAGGTTTCAGCCTTGCTTTGGTTCCAATGCTTCTTATCTCCCTGTTTCTCCCTTTTGGGATAGCAACGTTTATCCTGCGTCACTGTCTGTTGGCAGTGTTTAAGTTTAAGGCTCATAGATAGGAATTTGTCTTGAGTCTCAAAGGAGACTCTGGACTTGAACTTTTCAGCAATGCTGAAACTGTTAGGACTTTGGCAGCTCTTAGAGATGAACTAAACGCATTTTGCATAAAAGGATGCACACGAGGTGGGATGTTACCAAGGGCCTCCACCACTCATAGGTGGGACATCTGGAAGACGATTGGATTATGGGATTTATAGCTGGCTTGTTGTTAGAAGGTGAGTCTCGTAGGAAAAGGTGGGTCACCAGGGTCAGGCCTGGAAAGGTTCATCTCCTTCCCAGACCCCTCACTTTTCTCTCTCTGCTCCCCATTTGCCATGCCTACTATTCCTCCTCCATATCCCTGTGCCATGCTGTCCTGCCTTGGGGACAGTGAACAGTAGACTGAAACCTCTACAAGCTGTGAACCCCATAAACCTTTCCTTCTTTCAGTTGAGGGAGGTGTCTGGTATTGTACAGTGATATAGGGAGTAACTAAATCACAGGCCCGGGGTGGTAGCCCTGGAGCATGAGCCTTAGTCGCATTCTTACAATGTCTTCCCTGAACATCCGATTCTCCCATGGATATTTCTACAGCTCTCAGAGCCATGCAAGGACCTCAAGTTTCCTGTCACTGCCAACGATCAGGAAGCAGCACTTGTGTGACCAGGAGAGATGCAAAAAGGAAAAACAAGAAAATCCAAGCAGAGCCTAGAGAATGCACAAGTAGGGGTGGAGGGGGGTAGCCCGTAAGCAGAGGTCAGCTTGGGAGCCAGAAGCTGGGCACTTGGAGGGAGACTCCAAACTCCTGAGCATCTGGCCACAGCTGTGGGTGGGAGGGACAACAGGATAGGGGCCCAATATGGCCTGAGAGCTGCTCTGCCTGGCTTACACAAACCGTAGCAAATCTGGTTTGTGTTTTCCCTGTGCAACCAGCTTGATGAATTCTTCCTACACTCACTTTTCTGTAACAATTTTCCCATTTGGCCTTTCTATCTGTTTATCTCCCCTCTATGTTCCAATTGAAATCATCAGAGCTGGAGGAGAGAAAACTGGGCTTTCAATCTGTTTCTTTTAATTGTTTAGAAACTCAGGGATTCTTTGCTGCCTGTGCAGAGTTTGGGTGTGCCTAACTCCACTCAGTCATCCCTGACTCCTCCCTGGCAAAAGACACACTCCTAGGCCCAGATGTGAACAGGACCCGCTGACAGCCCCCTGCTCAACCTCAAGGAGCCCACACATGGGCCACATGGGCGTAGTGGGGCCAGGCTGTCTCCTTCGCCCCATGCGCCGTGAGGGTGACTTGGCTCAAATGAATAAGGCCAAGCACTTACCATGGAAACAGCCTCGCCACAGGTTTCAGCTGCATAGATGTGGCCATGCAGTGTCTGCTCTGTTATTCCCATTGTTCAATTTCCAGAAATAAAATAACCTTTATCTGCCAACCTGGTCTAGCGATAGCGTAGCGTCAGCTCCCACTCACCTCTTTCCCCGCCTCCTGGGTCCTGGACCCCACTAGGAAAGATCACAGGGAATCAAGGAGTCAGGCCTCAAAGAATCTGCCCAAATACAAACATTTGAGTTTAGCATGGCGTATGAAGCATCTTTATTTAAAACAACAAAAAGCGGTATTTTAAGTTTATATTTGTATAACGCATAGTTGCCATTGTGGATCCAGTTGGATTTCTCTGCAGAATAAACAAAAGCATCAGCAGCCAGATTGTTAAGTCTGCATGGAAATCTGGACACCGCGAAGACTTGCTTTCCTCCCAGAGGCCCCATCGGGAGGGGGCAAATACAAACACAAAAGCATCTTCCAAGGAGGACGTGTTCATGCTGATTTTTAATGATGCCCAAGTGTGCTCACTGCCTGCACAAAACAACCTCTAAAAGCACTACATCCGCCAAGTCATGCTGCCCTCTAACACAGGAGCACCCCACATTCATGGAGGTCACACGGCTTTGTGTCCCCACCTTGTTACTCACTGGCAGGCGCTCAGAAGTGGAGTGAGCAGCCTGGACATTTCCTGGTGGATGTGTGCTTCCACAGTCGGAAGACTTAACCCGCAATAGACTGACTTGACCCATTGAATTGGGGTCCGTGAGCAACTCCTGAGTCAGGCAGTCTCTCCTATGGTGGCTGAACAGTCATTTCTTGTGAAGTAGCTCAAGGAAAAACCAAGAAACATCACCGTACCAAATGCAGACTGCTCAACATGGGCAGAGCGGAGGAGACTTCTCACCACGCTGCCTCAGGCTGAGCCCTTTCAGTTGGTTGTTATGAATCTCCTGTTTGTTTGTTTGCTTGCTTGCTGGCTTGCTTTGGAAGCATGATCTGTTCAGGGATATTCCTGTTTTTCAATGTCTCGCTTGACTACTTGTCATTCAACACAAGTGACTGCATTTCGATTCTGTCCTTTGGGCCCAGCACAGAGGAGAAAAATCCAAAAACAGGTAGTTCTCCATATATTTTATTTGACATATGTCATTCAGATAGTAATGAAGCTTACAGATTTCCATGGCATAAAGTGGATTTCAGGATTTTCTCCTGGAAGTCCCAAGCTTCCTCAGCCCACAGCATGATTCAGTGTGGATAGGGATTCATCTCAAAATACAAGGCTTCCAGAAACATGCTTTAAAATTAGCTCCTAGATTTGCTGAATCCCAACTCCAAACCATCACCCTGAAAGGAACCTAGGAACCTGCCATTTGTCATTCAGTCGCCTTTCCTTCAAAGAGCCTTTGGAATGCAGCAAGCCCGGGCTAGGCTCAGGCCTTTGTTGGCTTCCTCTCTTATTGACCACTAAACCACCCCAGTAACTGCAAGGCTGTGCTCGCCCTTTCTGAGGCATATTCTGGGGCTGGTGGGTGCTGGGGGCCTCCCCGCCTCAGTGAGACATGAGGACCTTGGGAGTCCTGGAACCCCAGTGTCAGGGTTTATGTCTGTGGCCCCTAGGCCTCTTGCATTTGCATTTGTGATTGGGTTACTGCCTAGTGCTTGGATTGATGGTGTCAGTACTACACCCACATGGGGTGGAGCCAGCAGACAATATGGCAGGAAGAAGCTGTGTCTCACTCTTTTGCTGGTTTCCGCCTTGCTGTTTGCAGCCGCCATAAACTGCGGCCCTGCCATGCTACCCTTTCTTAGAGCAACTAGTATGGACTGAAACCTCCAAAAGCTGTAAAAATAAACCTTTCCTTTCCCAACTTTGGGCATCACGTATTTTGTCTCAGCAATGAGTAAAAAGTAACTATGACACCCAGAGCCCATTTCCTGCCCCTCGAGTAGGGGATGATTTCTACTGTGTGAAATCACAGCCAATATTTGCACAATTCGAGCACCTAGAAGAATAGCTTTGGTTTGACAGTGTCCCACAGGTAAAGGAGGATATTAGCATTTTACCACTAAGAAATAAAAGCAGCGACAAACAATTATTTTTCTATACCAGGCGGTCTGATGTAGTTTTCTGCCACACAATCATGACGTTTTAGGTCACTGTGAAGGACAGTTGTGTTTATGAGTGAACTGGGGGATTTCAAGGTCATAGAAATTTTGCATTCATAAAGGAGGGACTGTTTTATTAAAGTCATTTTTATTCTTTGGGCCTAATTTGTCTATTAAGTCTATCAACAATACTCACTTAGTTGACACATTTGTATAATGTTATTATGATTTTGTTGTAGGATTAGAATGCATATAGTAAATACTTAGAACTTCACCTCTTAGAAATCAAAAACTCATCCTCTATCCCACCACCCCACCCCACTTCTCTGTGAAGTAGAAAACCGTTTCCTACCAATTCTCAAGTTTAGTGTATCTGATTTTACAGGATCGCATCTTTAATCCCTCCAGAATGCTATGCAACTGTTTGCACTCTTAGGACTCCTGAATTTGAAATCACAGGCAACTGAGTTCACAGAAATATGCAAATGCATTGCTGAAGAATCCCCTGTACACAGGCGTGGATTTGCACATAGGCTACAGGAATGCTCTCTTGCCTTTGGGCAGAATTTGGCACAAAACAGATATTCAGAAATAACTCCCTGAATGAATAGCTGAGTAACAAGTCAAAGCCATCCTCTAAAGGCATTAGCAGCATAAGCACTAAAAAAATTTCCACAATTTGTAGGGATTTCAAACTACACTAGGAAATACATGTAAATAAATGCACTTGAGTACATAGAATTGTTTTGCTTTTCCAGGCTTATGCACATGTGTGCCTACTTTATTCCATAAATAAGAAGTTTATGACAAACACTATATTCAGTTCAGACCACATAGTTTTATACCTGAGTCTTCACAAATGTCTTTAGAAATAAAGAAAGGAAGAAGCCACAGTCATGAAGAATAATTCAATCTGCTTTCATCCAAAGGTTAACCGGCTCTTTGGTCAGGTTTAAAGAGCCTGCAGGAGGCTGAGCATTGCATACTCTGCGTAGACAATGAAGCCTCATGGTCGCTGGTGGTTAATTACGAGGCAGCTACTGTGTGCACAGCAGCCTGCAAGCAATTTGAAGTGTTTCAGTGGAAAAATAGATGCCTTTGCCTTGTGCAGCTTGCAACCTCCCAGATACAATATACAAGGAACTGCACAAAATATGAAGTAAAATGGAACAGAACAAAAACAAGGATGTGCAAGGGTTTAATAGAGAGCTGGTGCAATTTTAAACAGGCTCTTCGGAGCACACCAAATTGAGAAGGCAGCATCTCAGCAACTCCTTGATGGCAGAAGGTAATTAGCAACATGCCGGCTTAATACCCGGAGGCCCAGTATATCAGCCCCTGCTTCTTATGGAGCCAAGTGGAAAGTACCACATCAGATTCTGAATTCTCCTGTTCAAGAGCTCTTTGAACTACATTCCATGAGCAACCCCAAAGAGTTTATATCCTCTCGGCTTGAGCTGTTAGTGAGCATTGGCTGCTTCATGTTTTCACATCTCTGCAGGAAGAGTGGAGAGTGTCACACAGCCTCAGGTATGAGGGCTCCTCCCCTCACATCTTTAACAGCTTCTAGGAGCCTCTTTCTTTCCCTCCTTCTCCTGGAGAAGCTGGAGGAGATACACTCACACTTAATGACCCGTGCCACTTTGCCTCTCATTCACTTGTGAGAACTGGCCTTGTGGCCTCAGAAACAAGAGCTGGAGAATAGAGCCAGGTTGTCATCCTAGGGAAGGAGTAACATGGACATTAGTATCAAAGGAGATCCAAAAAGATGTTTGAAAAGTCAGTTGAGCTTTTATTAGTCAGCATTCTGTCACTGTGACAAAATAACTAAGGAGAAAATTTAGAAGTATAAAAATTTATTTTGGCTCAGGGTTACAGAGATTTCAGTCCATTGTCAGCTGGCTGCATTGTTGTGGGCCTGTGACAAGGTGACCTTCATGGCACAAAAAGCAAGAGAGGAGGAGAAGGGGCCAGGGACACAAATTGCCCTTCAAAGGCACACCTCCAGTGATCCAACTCCTCCCACTGGACCCAAATCCTAAGGTCTGGACCACCTCCCACGAGCGCCACCAGCTGGGTGCTGAGCCTTCAACCTATGAGCTTTCTGGTGACCAGTAAGATCAAAACCACAGCACAGACCAATGCTCGTTGCCGTCACCGCCGTCACCACCATCATTTGTTCGCATTCCCTGAGCATCGTAATGCTGAGACAGGTCCAGGCTTAGAGCTCTGTTAATCTTTCTGAACCTCATGATAACCCTCTGAGGAAAATGCCACTTTGACTTTGGTTTCCAAACAAGGGAGCTTAGACTATGAGTTCAGAGACAGCTGCTTGAAATTGTGTGGGCAGGAAATGAAGTAACACCTTACAGGGTAATCTTTGATTCTTCCTGGGCACTTCTAAAACTCTCAGATTTAGATGAAGCGCATCCAAATCAGCTTCCTGTCAACTGACTGTCAACCGGAAGCAGTGTTCATGTAGACACAAGAAAAAATAGGAAAATACAAACACGCAGCAAGGTTAGAGAACAGCAGACTCATAGAGAATTAAATCACAGAAAAAACCAGAAAGTGATACATTAGAATATAGAGCATGACAGATACTAAGAAATACAGAGCAAAATGGAACAAAAAACATAATTTGACACAATATAGATTATAAACAATTACAGAAATATTACCAGTAATATTTAATGGTTAACTTGAAAATCTTCGTAGTAATGAACTTGAAAACTTAGTTAACAAGAAACATATAAAAGATCAAATTAATGCTAAGTACCATATAACTGATATAAATTCAAAATTCATTAACATTAAATAAGTTGGCCTCTCTTATTAGAAAAATAAAATAAAATGCTTGCTTCCCAGGTGTTTTCTACCAAGCTTTCAAGAAACAGTTCATTTCTTCTTTACCCAAGTACAAAGCTTGAAATTTAGTTTATTTTATGAGGCTACTGTGGTATTCATTTCCAAACTAAGGAAACCAACATGAGAGAGAAAATTTATTTTACTTATTAGCATAAATATAAAGATCCTTAATAAAATAATGGGTAATAAAGTTCAACAGCATATTAATAAAAATAAAATACCATAAGCAGGAAGAATTCATCCCAACAATGCAAGGGTGATTTACTATTTTAAAAACCTAATAATTTATTACATGATAGTTAAAAGACAAAAATCACATGATTATCCCAATTCATGCAGAAAATAATTATAGGTAGATGTGGAAATTCATCAAATTTGTAAAATCAAATAGAAAAAAGAAAAGACATTTCTTTTATGATGGGGAAAGAATCTTATGATTACCTCTATTGTTAAACATTTTTTAAGAGAACAAAAATAATAGGTATAAAGTTAGGGAAGGAATAATAGCTGCTGTTATTTCAAGGAGTCATGAACATTTACCTAGAAAAATCAACCTAATTAACAACTTACTTGAACTAAATAAGAGTGCTGAGGAAGGTTATAGGAATAAAATAATTATGTGGTTCATCTCCATAACAAATGTGGAGAAGAACCAAATGAGATTCAGTGTTAGGTTCAATGTTGATCTTATGAGAAAATTTGATTTGGTTCTCAGTCAATTCAGTTAGCAACTAGAATCATGAAAAGAATTGTTTGTGAACCTAAGTACCACTATAAAATATCATTCCCAAGTAGCAAAGTTGTAAAACAGTTTGAAATTATCATGTTCAATCATTAAGACTTTTAACAAATACCTACTAATAAAAATATGAGTTAATACTAAGCACAGCCAAGAAAATAGTGAAAGAAAAGGAATGCAGGCTCTCAAATATAAAATCACCCATAAATGATCTTAATTGCCCCATAAATCATAGAGAAATATTGTTCAGTGTAAATAGTTGGCAAAACTGGGTCAATGGTGAGAAAAATCAGCCAGATCCCTACCTCACACCATACACACACTAAGACTTAAATGCGTTAGGTGAAAACGGAGAGGGAGAAAGTGAATGGAGGAAGAACTTTTTAATCTACCCCGGGAAAGGCTACTCAAACTTCATTTTAATCATTCATCCCTCTCTCTGTACTGTGAACACTCTCTGTACTTTGTCCAATCATTCAATTAGAATTTTTATCTTAGCAAGTACATTTTAGTATTTTTATTATAAAAATTATATTTGTATCATATTTAATTTACAGTTAAAGTGCAAAGACTATGGAAACATTCATTACAGACAGGGTAATTGATACCTCTGTGGTTCATTTTCTGTATCTTTAAAACATAAGGAAAGAGACAGGATATTCTTGAGAAGGGAAACCAAACAAAAGAGCTTAGATTAGATAGGTCTATAGGTCAGTAGACAGAGGGATAGATAGATGATGGATAGACAGACAGACAGACAGACATAATATACTTTGAAAAATCCCTGCAACTTAGTAAGTTCTGTGTAAATGTGAACTATTACAATTTACTAGTACTATTTTATACTCTAAGGCTATTTACTAATGTGGGTTTCTGTATGTCTAATTTTCTGTTCTGTAGCTATAATGTCTCTCTTAGTATTAAAAAAAAATAGGAGTATCACCATTTCCCTCCACTTATATTTTAAACTATCTAGAAGAAAAAGAGTCAGTAGAAGTTATTAATCTGGAAATAATGTCATTATTATGGTTGACATTAAAGACATGACCTCAGTCAGTCAGTGGACACACCAGTGACCTCAAAATTACCTGGATTCACCAAGTTACCATACAGGTAGTGCTGCGCCATACCGTGCATCCCTGGGAAAGACAGGATTTATACCTTGAGCTCAGTGCAGAGCTGGAAGAGGAGAGGACATGGGTGCTTGGAGGCAAGTCAAAAGGCGTATCTGCCCCAGATGGCATCCCCGCTCACTGACTCGGGAGCTGTCACAGGAACAGTCTGCTTTGCACTCGATCTGGGTGTCCACTGCAAGTCCAAGTCTCCACCTGGCATTATGCTCCTGCACAGAGGCCCAGGAATCCTGATGCAGTGAGGGTCCACCAGCACATCACTGACCACCTGAACCACCAATAGGACAAAAGGGAACTGTGGGGCTCATATCAGTTAGTAAGTGCCTCAGCTCAGAAGTGACACTGTTAATTCCAGGAAGGCCACCTCGGCTTTCTTGGAGCTGAATAGATCTCCACCAACAAATTCAAGGCATCCTGAAATGTGAATTTGACCTATTTACAAATAAGAGCATTGTCTATTTGACATTTCAATGACAATGGACAAAATTGACCGCTCATCTTCTGTAATTTTTCTTGCAGTACTAAAATTTCAGTTTGCGGCATGCATAGAAGAAGGGTTCCTATTGAAAAAGACAAGGTCATTTCGTGATTAAGTTAAGATGTGCTCAAACTGGATTAGGGCAGGCCTTGTGCAAAGGCTTTTACCCTGATAAGAAGGAAATTTGGATGAGCACCCACAGAGAGAGCTCTTTGTTTAGATGCAGCCAGAGGCTGGAAGCACTCTGCTCCAGGAAGGCTGAGGACCTTCAAGATTGCCAGTGAATGCCCCAAGCTTAAAGAGGCAAGGAAGTACTCGTCACTATCTTCACTAAAGGCTTGAGAGGGAAACGTCCATGGCCCTGGCCTCCACCACTGAAGGACGCTTCCTATTTAAAGCCTCTGACCTTGTGCTGTCTTACAAGGACAGCCACAGGTACTCATGCATGGTCTCATAGAACTTCAGGGATCTCAGATGGGCCACATGCAGGGAGCAGCTTAGCTAGAGTAATCACAAAAGCAGGCTCCTCTGGTGCGCCTGGGCTCACATAGTGACCTTGACCCTTCTTGTTTCCTAGGGCTCAAGACTGTCCCCAGAGCTCCCCTGCCCACCCAGCAGTGCACACATGTGGTTGGATTTTAGGACCTTAAGGTGCAGATTAGTGACAGTCAATCTGGCTCATCCCCAGAGAGAGACAAGGAGTGTCACTAGGCACCATAGAAAGCACAGTCAAATTATACATGAAGCCAGCTTTGCGCACACTGAACTCACACACGTGCACACACCTCTTCTGCTAACTCACACTCACCCAGAGTTCACACTGCTCACGGCCACCATCCAGGGGCACAGCCCATGTCGTGGTCTAGTGTCTGGCCCAAAGGCTACAGCAAAAGGTATTTTCCAGGCTTGGAAACACTGAATACAGCCACATTGCTCTGAATTGATGCTTAGTATGAAAGCTTTTACAACCGCAATCCGTACTTCATTTCTTTCCATAAAATAATAATTTGAGAAATGCAAACAAATACACTGGTAACAATTTAACATTTAGTCTCAATAAATAGAAAGCATTTTACAGGAAGCTGCAGGCCATTATGAAAATCATAATCCATGTCTGGTGCTTGGAAAATATATTCTCAACTTCACTGTACCCTGTGCCCGGCTACAGAACCCAAGATTTCCTTTGAATTATAGATTCTCATTATGATAGATCAACAAATACAGTGCAAAAAAAAGCCCTGTTGAAGACAGCACACACTATTCTAAATGAAGATGCCAAAACACGTCAGCCTTTCCTGCAGGGATGGCAGAATTGAAATTGCTTCTCATTTGTGAGGCAACCATAAATGCTGAAATACAGATTATTGTGCATTCAGAATGATCCCGTCTGCAGACTTCCCCTGTTAATTTATGCGTCCTGCACTTCCCGCTGCAGCAAACATCTGATCTTCTCCTGAACTTTTCAGAAAATGGCAGTCTTCGGATCTTGAAATTAAACTGCA